AGATGCTAAAGCAGAGTCTTGCCTGAAGCCATTTCTGTCATTAAACATCATTAAATGGCACAGTGCTGTTGTGAGTTGAAAAAGCTATGTGCACAAACAGACTCTGATTTGTGCAGAAGCTTCCTGAACTTCCAGCTGATTACATCAAATGGACTAATCTCCGGACTTTCCTTGCATTTGCTTTGTTATTAAAAAAAAAAAAAAAAAGAAAGAAACTGTGCATTGACTGGACTCACAGAATTTTCCAGAAGCTTCTATTCAGTACCAACCTGATTCTTATTATGGCAGTGATTTTTTTTCTCCCCCCAGCATTTGGGAGACCCGACACCGAAGTGCTGCTGCAGCACGTGCAAGGGGAATGGTGCCTCCACCCTTGAACTCCCGTGGTTTTGTGACCTTCTCCCACGCAAAGTTAAGCAGATGCACAATGTTTTGACTAGATGGCAACCCCAAGTTTGTACATATTTGCAGGGATGCCATCTGTGCCTGCTGCTTTGCCCTGGGACATCTGTTCAGTAGCTCCGAGAGCATCTGCTCTAAGTGCTGGTGCTGTTCCTCGAAAGAGGCTGTGGGGCTTCATTTGGCACTTGATCAGGGATGACGGAAGTTGTAAAGTCGGAGTGATAACTCTGCTTTATTTATGTTTGAGTGTGATAAGCCTGGAAGATTGCCAGAATCGGATGCAAAAAGTAGTTTTGTGTTAGTTCTCAGAGCTCTTATTGCAGCCTTTAATCTGCATTGTGCTTACCTGAGGATGTGCTGCCGGATTCGTTGGCGGGTATTTTAGTGTTTTGTGAGAGGTGCTGGGTTTGTAAAGATCAGGATGTTGAGTGCTGCATACACTAAGGATCTTCTGGAGGACACCTGTCCCACAGCTCTTCCTGGGGTCCTGTAGTTGTCCTTCCTTTGGCCACTTGCACAACCTGACAGCAGTAAAATCCTTGTGGTGTTTACCCCAGGAGGAGATCACTTCTGTGGGGGGGAGATGATGAGTGGGTAAATATGTTTCTTTAATGCAGATGGTGGATTAAGCCAACTCACCTTATACAAATACTTTTCTGCTTCAGATGTCTTACATGTTCTTATTTACTGTTGATAGTGGCTTTTCCAGTTTTTTGGTCATTACATCCACAGCAGGTGTTTTTCAGCTGAAAGTATATTTTAGGAACCTTGCTTGCCTGATCTGGGAGTGAAGTGAGGGATCAAATGCACAGTTAAATATTCACTGTGGCGGAGACTAAAAGAAAGGGGGAAGGAAAAAAAAATGCTTAAACATAACTGAGTCACGCTTTATCCTCTCCTATCAATATTTTCGTGTGAGTTACACAAGGGTTACAAAAACTGTAGGAATTTCAAAGCATCTCGAGTTGGTTGTGGAATAATACTGTCCTTCTGTAAAGCATGTTGCCTTAAAATATCCCAACTTTTTTTTTCTTGATGTGCATAAAATCAGCCTGAATTTAGCAGCATATTTTTCTCTTCTACGTTGGGATTTGAATGAGGGTCTGTGGACAGACCTATAAAAAGCATCTGAATTCTATAACTGTGCAAAAGAAGCCGGCAGTAAATTACATGCTTAGCAAATAGGGAAGTTCTACTAGTGGGAGGATTTCAGCCAAGGTCATATTGTATTGCTGTTCCATAAACAGCAAGCTTTCTTAATGCACGTGTTTCTGAGAATTTCATCTGTCAAAATACATGCTAGCTTTTGATCATGCCCTTTTTTTTAAAAAGAATAAAAATTGTTATTGAGAAATGGTGAATAAAACAAGAAACCGTCGCTTGGTGCTAAGAAGCTACCAAGCAGATTAATATCTTGCAGCTTTCTTTCTTGAAAGAGGAAGAGGAGGGTAGCAGAGGGCTAATTGTAGGACAAGCTGACAGACTTCATGCAGAAGCAGAGATAGTTGTAATACTCAGGGATCTCTCTTGGCCTTTTGATTCTTGTGGCAGCATTGGAAGTTCACACATGTCTGCTCATGACACATTCAGTCAGAGGGTCCCAGATTCTGTTCTATTCCTCTGTTTTCTTTTAGTTCCTCACAAAAAAAGGTTGCAAAGTACCTACAAAATGCTGGTTAGAGACCAGTTCATTGTCCTGCCTCTTGTACGGTGACTTCTATTCATTTCCCCCCTCCCCAGTTTTACCTGTTGTTTTATAGTAGATAAAAACTTGTGCAGTGGCATTTCAAGTCAAGGATCAGATGGATATATAAAAAAACCCAATCCATTTATTTTCTCTGACTTTACTATAATTATTTTCTCGCAGATTGATGATTTCTTGCCTGAGTTTTGTTTTTTCACTTGTTTTTCTTCCATTCCACAATTTGCAAATTAGAACTTGGACACAGAGTTCTAACTTCCAAGAGTGAATGGCCTTTGTGTCATTGCTTTTGAAGAGGCTTTCTTTCCCTCAGAGCCTGGTGGGAGGAGGAAAGAAAAGATGATGTTTGCTACTGAGAAAAGCTGTTTGCACGTGACTTCTATTTTGGTGGAGGAAAGACAACTACATCTCCCGAACTGCGAACATCGTGAAGTGTGTGTGTGTAATCAAGGTCTCCATTGTGCATTTTAAAAAAGAAAAATCAACTGCTGTTGGGATTTTGTGGACTGCTGTTTGTCTGCTTGTGGTTTGCACCCGCTGAAGGGTGGTGAGACATAGGTGCAGAATTTGTCTGCTGTCATTGTCCTTTCCCGCCACTGAAGAGGTAAAACGTGGTGTTTTGTACAGGGCACCAGCTATCACAGTAAATTCTAACCAGTCATTTCTGTGTTATATAAATTAGTCAGGAGACTGACAACAAGTCCAGTGCCTAAGCAACAAGCTGTTTTCAATCCTGAATTAACTATTGACACTGAAGCTTGTCAGATGAGGAGCTGTTGTTGCCTTGCAATTCCCTGTGCTGTACAAATAATAGAGCGCAGATGTGATTAGGTGCGGTATCTGACTGACCTTTCCAGGGTGGGACTGTTGCTTTTACATTAGCAAACAAGTCACTGTGAGGTGAGTGATTAGCTCTGTGGCTACTGGAGATTGTGAAGGATGGCCACAGGAAGCAATCTGCTTCCTGTGACAGGAGCTCATCTTCTTTTTGGGCTCTTAAGCTTCTGTGAGCAACTATATAAATATATCTATGTATATATATTTATGCAAATACTTTGTGTATGAGAGAGATACTAGAATGTTATGTAGCTCTCCCTCATTTTTTTCCCCAAGTTTTCTGTCTTCCTTTTGTGCTTTGACAGCAGATGGCAAGTACAAATTGTTTAAGTATGACATCACTGACAGTGCTTGCCCTGGTGCTTTTCTGAATGCCAGCAGCAGTATCTTCTGACCTGTCACTGAGCATCAGAATAGAATAATAAAAAAATGTTCTCCAGATTTCTTGTGAACATAATTTAGGTATTTTAACGGGCAATGACTGTAGTTAATCAACGTTCTGCTCTACTCTTTAGAGTAAATTCCTGTTTATCTGCCTTCCTTGTGCCATGATGTGCATGAAACAGGCCAGTTCCTTCCACAGCACCAGCCTTCCTGATTTTTTTTTTCCAGCTCTGTGCTGCGTGTATTTTATTTGTACCTGTGCCTGCTGTGTTTTTATTCAGGTTTTTATTGGTTTTGCCTTTACCTCCTGGTGTTTTTTTCCTTTGCCATTTGAGTTTTTTCATTCAGGTGACCTGATAGTGCTCATATGTTGCATGAAAAACACGATGACAAGGCGCTGGCAGGACTGAGTTTCGCTTTTGGTGAAGGCTTAGTGTCTCTGTGCTCCCCTTCCCCACCTGTTGGGATCTTCTGCACATGTTTCCAGCTAGTGTGTTATCTCATGAGTAAGTTCCTCCCAAAGAGCTCCTGTTTTTCAGTTCTAAAAAGCCTTAGCTTCGCTGGTAAGGTCTAATCCTGAAGAAGAGCACAGACCCCCTGTAACTCTTTTGCACACAGGTCTGTTGGGGTCTGGGTGCTGCCAAGCAGCCTGAAAAAGGCTTGTGGGGAAAATGAAAATCAGCAATTGGATAGTTGTTGTTTTGTGTTGCGTTTACTTTTTGAAAGTGGGTTCTTCCATAACTGTAATTTTTTTTCCTCCCTACCACAAACTAACACCTGTCTTTCAACTGCTGTGTTAAATTGGTGTTGCCCAGCAGGGAAATCATGACACTGTGGAGGGAGGAGCTATCTGGACAATCTTAACATCTTCACTTGCTTGTAGAGTTATTTCTACTATAAATGGAAGTCCACCCTCTTTCTGTGTCCAGAGCTTCATTTTAGCAGGAAAAAGATTTGATATGCTGTAAATACTCAGTGAGGTCCAGGAGAAACCTTCACTATTTACACGGTCAGTGTGCCCTGGAAAGGCTAAATTCATCCTAGAAAAAGAATTGGCTCCCCTCACCTCTGTGTGAAGCCAGTTTGTCAGCTGTCCTTGAGTGTGACAACTGTCTGAAGGTTTTGGCTGTTGGATTGTTTATGCCAAGTGTTGAGATGCCTAATCCAGCCAGGAGGTTCTGCTGTTCCACTGTAAAGCCGAATGATCATGGCAGTAACAATAAAAGTAAAATTTAATGATTACCTGGTGATTTCTTAACTTAATGGCTTTTTGTTTGTTTGTTGTAGTGATATGTACAGTTCTTTATTTTTCAATTTCCTACAAATCTTGCACTCATGTAAAATATTTTTGTAAATAAAAGAGTAAGGCGTGGTTTCTTGTAGTTGAACCTGTTCTGTGGGTGAAAAGAGGACTTCAGTTTCCTGGGCTAACAAATGGTGCTTTGAAAATGAGCTGTTTTCATGTAATTGCTTGTTTTGTGCTGCTCTGAATGTATAGTCTTGTCTCTCTACCTCTTTAAGAAAAATCAATTAGTAGCTAATCCATGCTGAGTAACCTCTTTATATTGTGTGGGTTTTGCGTAAAGGTGAATTAAGAAGAAAAGGACAGAAACAGTGATTATGTATATATATATTTATATAAAGCAACTGATTCTTCTTCATGTTTTAAATGCAGCTATTTCGAACTGGAGAGCAGTGGCCTGAGGGATGAGATCAGGTACCACTACAGGTTTAATGGGAAGTCAAGAACAGAGGTGTTCCCGTACCGCCTGGCAGATGGACAGTGGCATAAGATTGCTGTGTCACTTAGTGCATCCCATCTTCTGCTCCACGTGGACTGCAACAAGTAAGAAAACATGTCCAGTGACTTATATTTCTTTAAAAAATAATCTCTACTTACACGCAGGAATAAAATTGGAAAAGGAGATTTTTTGGTTTTTTTTTAATGTCTAATTCAAAAAGCACACTCAACTTACGCCGTGGGATAAGAAAACAAAGCATTAAAATGGAACAATCCATTGTGATTATGAACAAATGTGGGAAAGGTTGATTGCTGACTGGGGAGTATTAAATGCATCTCTGTAGTTTAGGCACTGGCTGATGTTACGTTTGCCTGTGATTGCGTTTAAGTGTGATGGATTGGCGTGTGGTGAACTGCTCCCCTCAGCATACCTGAGAACCTGAAGAATAGATAGATGCATCAGAGGCATTTTAATTTCATTTTACATAATCAGACAAGCACTTTTTACTGATTTTTTTTTTTTTTTTTCTATCTGCTGCCTCACTTGGAAACTTCTGAGAGACCTGGAAGATTCTTTTTCCATGTCTGGAACCAGTGCTTTTTATTTTCTGAGGGGTATCCTGTCTGTCATTGCACTTTTCCCTTAAAAGATGGGAAGAACTGTGAGATGGCATATTGCCAAGACTTCAAGGAATGAAAAACAGCAAACCCAGCATCTCTTCTCCCTAGAATCCATCTTGCCTTTGGACTTGGTCTCACAATCTATTGTAGACTTCAGACTTAGTGGTTGATGAGCAGAGAGCTTGAAACTGGGACTTTCAAAATGGTCTTTCTTTAGGAATGAGGAAAACAAACCATTACTTTTGTGTCTTATTGCACTGAAAATAATTTAAAAAATATCCTTTGCATTTCAGTGAGGGAATCAGCATGTGCATTTTGGAATAGGGGCACTTAAATGGGCAGGCTGATGGTAGCAGATATATTTTTTTTCTGAAGCCTTCATTTTGTTCAGACAGGCAGAATAAAGTTGGATGAGTATTACAGGAGTAGGCGGTTATTGGAACATTTGAAAAAGTTTAGATTTTGACCGAAGTAATTATGAGATACTGTTCTGAGAAGAATGTTACAACCATTTTCTGCATCTTCATTAACTACTGGGAAATCTAATCTGAAGGAATGTTGCATATTGGATGCTTTCATTTGGACCTTAGAAGCAATTAAGTGCTTAGAGTAATTTTAATTTCATTGAGGCATGAAATCTACAATTTGTAAAGATTGTCCTCATTTCAGTAATTTGATTTATTTCTCTTACCCTTGCTTATTTATTTCTTATAGTATTTCTTTGCTTACAACTTTATGGTTTTTTGTTAGTTTATGGATATACTGGGTTTTGGGACAGGCTTTTCATTATCTACTATGATATGGTTTTTTATTTTTTTCCTTAATTTTTTTTTAATTTTATGAACAGCAGATGTGTTTTAGGGAGACCCTTTTTAACAGGCTGTGTAGCTGGCTGCTTTCTTGATCAGAAAGTGGAAAAAAAGACAACACAAAGCAACTGCCTGGTGCAGAATTCTGTCCAGGGACAAGAGGACTGCACAGAGTCATGGTTGTGACACGATTTTCTTTACAGCAACAGGCAGAAATAGATAAATACAATCATGGAATGAGCTGTGCTGTCATGTGAGGTGACAAATATGTATAGCCACGTCTGTCAGGGGCTGATCCATCCAACAGTGTCCCTTAAGGTGGTACATCTCAAAGTTGCTCCCAGCATAAATCCATACCTAAAATATCTCTATTTGGCTGTGCATTTGTGGTATTTTATGACAACTCCTGTGGAAAAGTAATGGGAATAGCTCTGAAAGCATGACTTGAGGGCAGATCATAGTAGAAGTTTAAATGAGAGGGAAAAAAAGGAGGAAGTCTTTAAGTTCCTGACTCAGCTGTAGCATCACTGTTCAGTTAATTAGAGAGTTTAGTGAAAGTTGGTGTTAGTTTCCTTTATTAAATCTTAACCCTTTGTATCTTTGCGCTCAGAAGGGGGTCAACATCTTGTTCATCTTGGCACTAGCACTTCCTGATGACGCCGCAATAAATGTCAGAGCTGTGAAAAAGAGGAGCAAGCCACTGAGGGCTGCTTCTGAGCACTGCTGAAAACCCTGAGCCTGCTTCACCTCAGTGCTAGGAAAGCTGCCACTGAAAGTATGCACAGAATTGAGTGCTGAGAGCTGGGGACTCCACATGTAAATGTCACCATTTTAGGCTGGTGTGGTGTCAGTGGCCCTGGGCAGAGTTCAGGATGCCTTGTGAGAAGTGATGCTTCCATCTCCTGCAGAGATTGGGTGTCATCAGAACAGGAATTTAGCTTGGTGTGTACCTGTCTAGTTAAAGAAGTTCTCTGCTTTTTGTTTACTGTTCTTTCCCCTGTAATAAATAAAAACAAAGCAAAAAGGAAAAAAATTAACCAACAAAATCAATCCCTTAGATTTCTACTGCATTTCCCTAAGGGATTTGCAACGTTGCTTCCTTACAGATATGCCTGAATTTGTATAAATGCATTACTCCTTTTGTTTAGGGCTTGGGTAATAGGTTATATATTTGGAAGGCTGTTGTGAGCGAGTCATTTGTGTGAATGCAGTGTTAGTAAAGTTAAGCTCTATGTGAGAGTGCATTGAAAGTGTTTGCATTGGGAAAAAATATTCAGCCACAACCTAGTTTTGCTACAGGATTTGTATTGTGATACTGAAAGCTGGTCTCTGGCCTCCAAAAACTGCAGTAGATCAGAAAGCACTGGAGATGAAGCTTTGAATATGTAAACAGATAGTCAAATCTGCTTTTACTCTTCACAGCCTTATTGCCCACATTACTGTGATTTGTCAAATTGCTTTGACATTTGGTACTTGATTATCTTTTGGATTGAATTCAAAGTCAACTTTGTTTTTCAGACCTGGATAGGTTAGGGCAAAGTACTTGAGAACTGGCAAAAGCCTGCAGTGCTTTTAAGCATCATCTTTAAAACAGTGTAATTGCCTCTGTTCTAATGAGATATAATACCGTGGGGGAAGCATCTGTATCAAAGGGGTGTATTTGCCCGAGTGCATGTCCTCTTGAAATCGGCTCCTGCTGCATCTTACTTGCTCCTTCAAGAGCAGGGAGTGAGAATTGTAGCTGAGTTTGATGTTACAGCTGACACAGAAATCACAGAATTATATTTTGGGCTGGAAGGGACTTTGAAGACCATCTAGTTTTACCACCCCTGCCAGGGGCAGGGACACCTTCCACTAGACCAGGTTACTCCAAGGCCCATCCAACCCGGCCTGGATCACTTCCAGGGGTGGGGCATCCACAGCTTTCCTGGGTAACCTGTGTCAGTTCCTTCCCCACCCTCACAGGGAAGAATTTCTTCCTAATATTTAATCTAAACCCACCCTGTTTTCAGTTTGAAGCCATTCCCCCTTGTCCAATCACTTCATTCCCTTGTCCAAAGTCCCTCTCCAGCTCTCTTGTAGCCCCTTTAGATTCTGGAAGGTGCTGTAAGGTCACCCCAGAGCCTTCTCTTCTCAAGGCTGACCAACCCCAACTCTCTCAGCCTGTCTCCAGTGGAGTGAGAAGAAAGGTACCTTAAGAGTCCAAACTGAAAACCTGTTCAGTGTCAATGGACTCTTCTCACTGACTTGAAGAGCCTTTGTGCTGGGCCCAGACAGTGACCTCTAGTCAGGGATGTGTCTCAGAAAACTGACCTAAGAAGCCGTGGGTGCGCTTGCTAACGTGCTTTTAACGTTCTAGTAAGGTTTTGAAAGCTTACAAAAATGAAAAGGCTGCATTAATTATAAATGCACTACTGATGCACAAGTAAAACTTGTGCTGAAAGTAACATGGAAATTAAATCTCCTGCTCTTGGTGGGATCTGTGCTCCCCTACTCTAGGCAAAAACGAGTTGTCAGGGGCCTTCTGGAGAGTGTTTAGATTGAGCTAGAGCAGCTGTGTCGTTGTCAAAGGGTCCTTAAATAACCTGTGGTACTAAAGGATTAATATATAAACAAATAAACTCTGCTATGCGCCTTTCCAGCTTTGGCCTCTGAGATTTTCAACCCTGGGAGATTGTCAAGCCCCCCAGGATCTGATGTTTGTCATCTCTGGGAATTAGTTTCAGCTCTAGAGTTTTCAGCAGTAGAGTCTGTAACGTTTCCCATGGTACCTGCCTGTCCCCTCCGACAGGGACAGCACAGAAATATGTTCCATTCAGTAGTGTTAAGACACACCGTGGAGCCTACAATTTAAGAGGTGGTAGTTACTGTGTCAAAGTGTATTTATTGGTAACTCATTCACCAAATAGAAATTTCAGGTTGTTCTCGGTGTGTTTGATTGGTCTGGGGAGGTAAGCTCGGAAGGTGTTTGGTTTTTTTAAATTGTTTTGTCATCAATCGTATTGCTACAAAGGTACTCACCTTTTCAGACAGTATCTATATTCCTTTACTTGAACACTGTCTGTGGGCATAGAAGGAAGAAAGATGCTTTGATGCAAAAATTAATGTTTTTCCAGTGAAGGTCTTGTGCTGGAGTGCCTTTTGCTGTGACTACAACCTGTGGTTTTGATGGATACTCTCAGCTGTTTGATGGAGGGGGTTGGTAGGAGCATAAGAGAAGAGATTATAAAACTGGAGCAGGCTAGGGTGTAGTCTCCAACTGAAAAAACATGTTGTCTGCTTCTTTTATGTTAGAACAGCGCATTAGGGAATAAAAAATGCATGAGCAGTGAGAACTTTTTAATTGGAAAAATAAATAAATTAAAGTAACATCCTCCAAATATGGGAATCCAAGACCTCTGAGTTCTTATAAATAAGATATTCTGGCTGCCAACCTGAGGTTTTCAACTGATCTAAACAAAGTTCTATGACTTTAATTAAAGTGTAATAAATTTTAAAGAAGGTTAAGGGACGTATTTTAAAGAGGGATTTGCTACTTTAGTTACCGTAAAACACTTTTCTCTTGAGAGAGAAAATGGTGTGGTGGCACTGTTATGCAGATAGGTAATTTACTCTCACTATTTGAATATGATTTTGTGACCCAGATTGCTTCTCTGCTCTTTAAGCTGCAGCAGA